ATCTGTTGCTGAAAGACGAACATGGACTGGCCTTAGGCGTACTTAGCACTACCTTCCACGCAACAAGGATGGAATGTTTGCAAAAGTCAGAGGCTTGGTTGCGTTCCTATGAAATGAAAGTCTCCTCAATAAAACGTTGCCCTACTGCCGGATCGTGTCGTGGAAATTATTGCTCCGAGGTAACAACCGACTCGTTAATTCCTGAACTGAAAGAAGTCAACAACTTCCCCGGAAAGAGCTTTTGTGTGGACAGTTCAAGTTTTTGGCAAAATCAATGTGGACTACCTGCCTCCGCTTGTCTTTACTACCGCTGGTATGCACGAACAACCTCTCGACCACCGTTTGAAGTTGTGAGCTGTCCAGCATGGGATGTAACGTTCCCCGTCGACCTACGACTTGAACTTACTGGTGGAAAGTCATGGAATACTGAGCTAGTCCTACGACCTGGAATGACATCGAATTGGGGAAATATTTCAATTACACCACTTTCTGTTTCATTACCACCTATGCCTACTTTAAGCAATCGGTTTATCACTAATGGTAGAGCAACGGCTTTAATTCAACACATTCCGACTCACTTACATTGTGCTGACGAGGATGCAGCTAGACAATTCAATTGCACGTTGGATATCGACACTTGTAAAGACTGTAAACCAAACCATGAGGAAGGATCTGTTTCGTGTCACTGTCAGGATGTGGATGTTGAGGGAATACTTGAGAACCCTATGGCTCGCTTGCCCATCACCGTTGCTAAAGTTTATGTGTACAATGAAGGCCCAGCTATCTATGCCGAACATTCCTACAGCCCAGTTCAACTTCATGTGCAAATGAAAGACCTACAACTTATTTTGGAATTCCGGGACTCAAAATGTTGGATCGAACCTATCTCATTGGTTGGCTGTTACAAGTGCCCTACGGGTGCGCAACTGCGTTATAAATGTCGTACGGATTGGGGAACTGCCCTTGCTAAAGTCGAATGTGACGATGGTGTAGTATTTGCCACTCAATGCAACACCAATAACACAGAGAAAATGATAGTTTTACCATTTGACCGGTCCTTAATCGCTAGTAATTGTATGGTTGACTGTCCAGCCGGCGAGACGTCCTTTAACATTTCTGCTGAACTACACTATATCCCGCTTAAACGACAATTTGGACATAAACAGAGGCTGTCCGAGCGATTGGAAACTGAACCGGATGAAGGCTGGAATTGGCCAATGGACTTTAGTTTCGACCCGTTCGCCATTATTCGACTATGGGCTAGTGTACCACTCTTACTTATGTGTGTGTTTGCGTTGGTAGTTGGACTATTCGCGCTGTACGTGGCTATCAAATTCTCACCAATTTACCGAGCCTATAAGCTGGCAGCTTGGCTTTTTCTGCAACAAGGTCATAGACCTGATAATGTAACGAAATTTACGAAGGCGATGTTATTACTTATGGTTACTAGCGGCGGACATGCTCAGGAAAGTCACGCACATCATAAAGTACTGAAAATTTCAAACCTTGAAAATAAACCTGAAAATACACTATCCGATGGAATTGTATTGTTAGCATATTTTGTCTTGGTGGCTCTGTTCGTGCTGAATTTCGGTCTGACAATATTGAGGGAATGCGCCAGGCAACGAGAACGCAGAGCCCAACAGCAACGTGACTTACTTGCTTCGACTGTAATAGTAGCCTTGGTATCAACTATCTGGTCACCCACACCCGCTGCTACAAATCATTCGAAAACGAGCTTTTTGGCCGCTGAAAAAATCCTATCTATTAGCCAAGCTGGAATTACCGCGGCTGCAACAGAGGTCCAAATTATGAGCTTTTTGGCCGCTGGAAGGTTCCGGTGTGTTTACCAAGCTGGAATTACCGCGACTGCTAGAGGAAAAATTAGTGATACTGCGGGGTGCAAAAGGAACAAACTAAAATCGAAAGTAATTAAACAGCCAGTCACAATAAAAGCTCTGATAACTCACAATTATGCAATAGATTCCTGCATAGAACACAATAAAAGCTACTCTATGGATAAAAGACTCAATTTCTTGATTATTTTTTACAACTCCTCCAATCAATATATATCAGTTTATGGATCTATATATCAGTTTGTGGGTCTAAATTGGGAGGATTACAACCGACAGTTAAACTTTAACCGATCCCCCATCATTTTTTCGTCAATTATTTCTGGTGACTTTGCCACTCGATTATTGCAATTCTTTGGCCTAGCTAAAAGAGAAAAAGAAAATGTGCTTGTCATCGACACACCAAACTTGAAAAATTTTCATTTTTTGGCCCTAAATACAAAAGAAACGTTCCCTTTTAATTTATGCTTAAACAAAGAAAAGGAGAAGTCTTCTCTGCTCAACTTGGCCATTGATTTGGATAGTTTTGCACCAGCCACCTGCTTGGCAATAAAATTTTCTTTTGAATTGAACTTGCGCCGATTAAAAGAAAGGTTACGTAACCTATCTTCATCCCCGCCTCCTTATTGTGAAGTGATGGAAAAAGTCGCTCTATATAATCTGAAAATTAGCCATAATACTTTAAAATTTCTACAATCAGTAACGATGGAACCAGCACCAATTAAAGAAAAAGCCTCGACAACAGTGACTAGTACCCCACCTTCTAAAACAACACGGTGTTCATCATGTGTCAGCAAGGGAGTGCCGCAGCCTCATGGGCATCGAGCGTGTGATAAAGCGTGTCCTTATTTTTCGGAATGGAGACAACAGCAGAAGATTAAATCTGGTAGTGTGCAACAACAAAATCAACAAGCCGCTTTAGAGGAAGAAGAAGCCATCGCCAACCTTATAAAAACACAACAACCGGAACAAGAGAAACAACAACAACATAGTTTGGAAAATGAACGGGCCCCAGTGGAAACAACACGTGAAATGGATCAAGAATTAAAGAAAGGTGTGATGCGGGAAGCTGCAAAACTCATAACCAGTGCCCCAGGATGTGACCCGTTGGAAGAACTGGCTTGTGTAGACGCTGATTTAAGTTCTAGTGGAAGTGTTGACCAAAAGGACTTAGCAAAATGGGCTATAAATCGACTTCGTGAAAGATTGGCATTAACAACTAATGAAGTGGTGGAAGAGCTGGAAGAAGAAAATGTTAGTAGCGACCAACAACACGAACGACAAGAGGCACCGGAAGAGGATGAAGGCTTAATTTTTAGTGAATCAGACAACGGACAAGCGACCCCACCAAGCGAGAAACAAAGCAGCAGTCAACAACTTTCTATAGAGCGTGAACGACAAATCAACGACAAAAAACGACTCAAATCTTATCGAGATCGAAAACGTGGATTTCGGGATGCTAAGACTAAACCTTCTCAACTTGCAATGGCAGCAATTGAGGGCAATCGAAAATTAAATGAAGAAAACGCAGCATTGGCTCGTGACCCCAAACGACTAGAAGCAGCTAAAACCGCGCATCGTGCAGCCGTCAAAGTGTTGAAGAGGAGAGGTGAAACAACGGACTCTAAAGAAAAAAGATTGAAAGCTATCGAAGAAGGTCCTGGTTGGCGTTATCGCACATTCTCAAAACTGCCTGACAAAGGAGGACTTACAGAACGTGATCCGAAAACAACACAGCTATTGCGTAAAGAAAAGGCAGCAGCACTACGAACCGCAGATTTTTATTTGAAGAGAGCTGAAGAAGATAGAGTGGGTTTGGCAGCACTTCTACCGGAGAAAAAACAACGAAAGGAAAGTAAATCACCAAGCCGTCATCGTAAAAGTCGTTCATCAGAGAGACAACGTCGACGACGAGATAGTCCGCTGGTAGAGCGTCGCCCCTCACCAAAGTCTCAAAAAAGGGGTAGTAGCGAAAGGACGCGTCACCACCACCGCCATCATGCAAAACAACGTAATGTAGCGACCAGCACCGACGACCTAATCGTAGTTAAAGAAAAGAAGAATCCACCACCACCCCCGATCAAACTGTCTATAGTGCGGGGTCATTCCATCAATATCGTCTCTAGCCTGCCCAACCCAGCCACATTATTATTAAATGCTAATGAAACAACACGTCAAACTGCCATGCACCTTCTCACATCCACAGCTCTCTACATGGCTCAAAATCTTCCGTCTGGTTCTTCAATATGGCCCAAGAATGAAGAAAAACGGGATGGTTGAATATTTATTTTTTTGTTATGATTTTGGGGATTTTTCTAGGCCGGGGGGAGTGTCGCCAATTTTGGCGACTTTTCATTGAATTGTCTCTTTTTTAAATTGTCCCCCGTTCACTCCTCGTTAATTTTTTAGCCGTTCACCCTTTATTTTTTTCATTGTCCACTCAATCTTTTTAAACCTTTTTCCCGCCAAAATTTTTTCTCTCTATTTTTTAGTGACAGTTTGCGCCTGTCACAACTTAAATTTTTCCTATTGTTTTTTCCGATTGTCTTCTCTGCCCCGTTCTCTCTACACATTTGGTTTTCTATAATCTATTAAGCATTATTTTTCAAGTTCGCATTTTTTGAGTTTTTTGCCAAGACCCGCCCTCTTTTAATCTCTATTTAAGCCGAGGATCAGCCCCCCAAAAATTACCATTCACCTCCAGTTTTTACTTTCAACCGCTTCCAGTTTTCAATTTCAACTCTCATCTTTTGGTTGGCTGATCCGCGGCTTCTACCTTTGTTTAATTAGTGCTCGATTTATTTTACTGCTCTGTTTTTTTGGCTATTATTTTTTGTGGAAGAAGTAAATTTATTGTTGACTTGTCGTTGTATTTTGTTTGAGTGGAAAAGTGAACCGCCTCGAGGTTCACTTACTGTTCTCCTTCTGTTATTTGACTGTGTTGGCACAACCAACACAGTCTGGTGCCACGATCCTAAAAATCCAATTTGTCGGGAAGCCCGTCTCCCGACAATTGTAGGTATATTAAATACAACAGTATCCTTTATTTGTTCATCTGATTGAACAATTGTTCCATTAGGAAGCTTCCAACTCAAAAAAGTTTTTTCATTCAACCGTCTTGGAGCGCAATAAAGAGAAAAGTATTCCCCAACATTAGCACTCAAGTAATTGCCAAAAGGTAAAATTAAAGGTTTGTTTGAACATTTTTGGGTTGATTTAAATAAAGATTTAATTATTGAAGTTAGTGGAAGAGTAGAAGTTGAATTTTGACTTAAAAATTTTTTTGAAAAATAGCCATAAATTAAATTCACCCTTTCCTAGCTTTACAAGTCGCTTCTTTAAGATCTACAATTTTATGGGTAAAATTTGTAAAAGTTTCTTCAGCACAACTGCAATCTAAAGGGTTTCCACCTATAAACAAGCGAGTAGGTTGTTCTAATATTTTATTGTCTATTGTCTCCAATGAATTGTTTGAGATTACAAGCCTGATAAGTTTGTAATTAGGTATATTAAACATATTTAATGTTTGTTTTTAAAAAATATTTGCAAACTTAAGTTTGTAAGTTCATATAAGAATGTTTTTAATCCAAAAAAGTTTAATTGATATTGCTTCAAGTTTATTTAATTTAAATAAACTTGTTTCAAGTTTTATGAAACCAGCATGTTTTAAATCAAGTTTTAATTTGGTTGTTTTTAATGATTAATTTCAAGTTTATTTAATTTTAATTAAACATGTTTCAAGTTTTAGCATGTTTTAATTCAAGTTTGTTTTAATTTAACAGCATGTTTTAATCCAAGTTTTAACTCAAGTTTGTTTTTATCAATTAATTTCAAGTTTATTAAAACTTACTCGTATAATAAACTGTTTTGGAATGCATATGGAGAGATATATTGTAATTGTGAATTATTAGTTAATTTGAGAAATTGTAAAACTGGCGTGAATGAAAATGTTCGTTGTTCAATGAGAAGTAAATTTGGACAATTGGAAATATCCAAATTCTTTTATTAAAAAATTATTTTTTTGAATTAAAATTTTTAAAAATTCTCTTTAAATTACTTGCAGCATTGGCTGAACTATTTCTCCCTCACAAATTTTAGTTATTGGATTTCCACTAAAATTTAACATTCTGAGGGCAACAAATTGTCTTAGATCTGCGGGGATTGTACTAAAATTGTTGTAAGAGAGATCCAACGATTCTAACTTAAAAAATTATTATTTTTTAAATTAATAAATAAAGGAGAAAAATACCTGAAACAAAGGAGAAAAAGAGTCATAATCAAAACGATGAAGACGATTATGGGACAAATTTAAGGATTTTAATTTTTGTGCAGCGAAGAATGAGGAACTCTAAAAAATTGTTTTTTAGTCTAAATGTTGTTTTAAATTTCTTGAAAATTTTTTTAAATTTACCTGAGCAACAGACAATAAATTATGGCTTAAATCAAGCTCTTCAATTGCTGGACTGTCTCTCAATATGTGTTCATTTATTGTCTTTAAAAATTTAAATTTTTTTATAAAATTTATAAAAATTAGTTTAATATCATCAGAAAAAATTTTAAAAATTTAATAAAATTAAGAAAAAAAATTTCTTTACTAGCAAATAATTTCCTTTCAAAATTAATTTCTTCAATTTTAGCAGTCGAAAAGCTTCCCATTCTACGCTGACAATTCTGTTCTGATTCAGATTAATTTCTTCAATATTTGGAAATGAAATAAAATCGCTTCTAGAAATGCTCTGTTAAATTTAAATTTAATTAAAAATTAATTTATTGAAAAATAAATTTACAGTAATTTTATTTTCACTCAAATCCAAGCAAATTAATGAAGGAAATTGTGAACGAATTGTCTCGCCTGATGGTTCTCTTCAAGAAATAAATAATTAAAAATTTTTTATAAAATATTTGACCAAATTTAAAAATTTTAAGAAATGATTTTTTAAAACACCATTCATTGCGCACATCAATATGTTAAACGCAACAAGTTTATTTATTATTGTTTCATGTTTGTCAAGTTTATTTAAAAACAAAGTTTCATGTTTATACATATAAACTTTGATTTTATTTTCTTATTTCCAAGTTTATTTTATATTCAAGTTTATTTCATTTTCAAGTTTATTTTTTCCAAGTTTATTTAAAACAAGTTTTTTTATTATATTTAATTTTTTCAAGTTTATTTTTTCCAACTTTATTCCAAACAAGTTTATTTACTTTCAACTTTATTATAAACAAGTTTTATTTTTTTCTTTACCTAAAACTTTTCTCTCCCATTCCAACATGCTCTAAATTATTACCACGCAAATTTAGTACTAACAATTTCTCCATTCTAGGGAAAATTCCCATATTTTCAATTTCACTATTTAAAATGCTCAAATTTTGTAAAGAAGTTGAAAATTGTGTTGGGAATGCACCTCCTTAAATTAGTAATTAAAATTTTTTTAAATTTTTTAAAACAACCAGAAATAAAAAGATGGCGTACTTCTGTTCTAGACAGATTTGAGCAATAAATAGAGAATAATTCTGCAAAAAAAAATTTTTTAATTAAATTGTATTAATTTAAAATTTTTTCATAGAAAAAAAATTAAAATTATTTCACTTTTATTTTGTTAAAAAAAATTTTTTTTTATTAAATTTTAAATGAATTTTCAAATTAATTTTTGAATTAATTTTTTACTTAATTTTAAATTTCAGACCATTAACTTTAAATTCAAAAATAAAAAAAAAATTCAGAAATAAAGGAAAATAAATTTAAAATTTTGTATTTTTAGGAATATAATTTCCGAAAGAATTTTTTTAATTAATTTTTAAAAAAAAATCTTTCTACCTTCATTACAAAAACACTTTAACGGACAGATTGCCGTGTCGCTTTTTATTATTAAATTTTGATGGGATATTAAAACAAAAAATTTAATTATTAAAATAATTAAAATTAGTGTGTTAATTGACATTTTATTTTTTACTACAAATAAATAATTTTTCAAAAAAAAATTTTTTAATAAAAGTTTTTTTTTGTTTTAGGTACAAGAAAAAATTATTAATAGAGAATAATTTAAAAAAATTATTTTTTTGATTTTTTAATTGAAAATTATTTTTAAAAACAATTAAAAATATTCTCTAAAATGACTTGAATAATTAGTAAAAATTTTATTATTGAAGTTATCTATTTTTGGATCAAGTCAACATTCGAGACAATTATATCTCAGCCTTTTAAATAAACTGGAATCTTTTTTTTTAATTTTTGAAAACTTCAATTCTTCAAGATGACTTGGATAATTTTAAGGCCTTATAATTTATCGAAATGTACGTGAGAGTTATTTTAGTTCTTGAGAGAAAGTAAAAATAATTCATGTTAAAATAGTAAAAGAAAACACGTAGGATTAATTCAGGAAATTAAAAAAATATTTTTGTAATTATAAAATGTACTCGTCCTACAAAAAATTCGGTCAAAATAAATTTTAATAAATTATTTTTTATTTAATAAATTTAGAAAATAAATACCTATAAATGATTTTATTTTTCAAAGAAATTAACTCAAAAAATTATTTTAAAATAAACATTATAAAATATTTCACTCAATTTTTGTTCCAACAAAAATCCCCCAGTGAAATTTATTTTTTTAACTTATTTTTTACATTTTAAAAACAATAAAGAAAAAAAATAAGAACAGCAACAAAAGAAAAAAAATTAAATATGCGTGCCATTAACTTCAAAATTTTTTGGCCAAAAAAGTTGTCAACAGTTAAACAAAAAAATTTTTTTATTTTTTTTCTTTTTTTGTTATTTTTTTACTTTTTTTACTTTTTTAAAGTTCTGTCGTTAACAGAAAAAATATTTTTTTTATTTTTTAAGGTATGCGCATAAGTAAATAATGCAGAAAATTTAGTATAGGGGAAAAAGGATAATGGGAAGTGAGTGAAAATGGTTAGAAAAAAATTGAAAAAAGTAAAAATACTTGTGTAAATATTATTAGAGAGTAAATATTTATTTAAAATAATTTTAAAAAATAAAAAGTTCTTTTTAAAATTATTTTTGAAGGTAAACTATTATATTAAATTTCAAGATTTTTAAAATTATTTTTTATTGTACAGTTGGTCTCGATTGTAAATATGTACAAGGTGACATAAAATTAAAATACACAGTTTATTCTTGAAGTAACTTTCTTCAATTAAAAGTGAATGAGATCAAACAAGGCTTATATGATAGAGAATTGAACAAAGAACAAAAATTATAAGGAAAATTCGGATTACTTAGCTCCTTTGTTTGAATACAGAGTTCAAGAAGCGCAGAAAATTTTTTGACAAAAGTTCGCACCTCCCCAGGTTTTTGATGAAAAAATCAAAAAAGTTTAAGAAAAATAGAGGTTTATTCAAGATTAAGTGTATTGGTTAAACAGATCCACTTTCCCTATCTATCAAAACCCAAATTTAAAAAATACTATAATCTAAAGTGTATCCAATTTTAGGAGGTACTAATAAATCGAGATCTAATAATCAAAATTTGAATAAATTATAAATAATATTTTTGAAAATATTTTTAAAATAACTTTGAATAATTATTGAAAATAAATAATTAAATTTAATAAAAATAAATAATAATGCCTAAATATATGCTCATTATTTATTAAATAAAAACAATTTATATTCTCGAGCATTTGTATTAAAATAGAAATTAAATAGAAAAATAATGGCCAATTATTATGAGGATTAAGAGAGGTTCGTGACTCTAAATTATTTTTTCGAAGCTTATTGAATTTTAAAAATTAATTTAAATTTCAATTTTAATTAATTTTTAAAAAATTTAAAGGAACTTTAAATAAAAAAGAAAAAGATTTTGACCAAAAATGTGTGTAATGGGCCAAAAATAATTTTTTATAAAAATATTTTTATGCCAAAATATTGTTAGAGAATAAAAAGAAAATATTGCCAATTTATGGCAAGGGTTTATTGAAGCGATAAAAATAAATAAAAATAAATATAAATTGATAAAATAAATATAGAAGAGAACATGTATATTAAATAAAATTTAAAAATATTGTTAAATAATAAAAAATATAATTTTATTATGATTGAGACAGTCGAAGTTTATTAAAAAAGGGATGGCTAAATTTATGGGAAACGAAAGCTTCCCCTTCCAATGTAGAAGATAATGAAAATCGCATATAAAAGGCTCCCGCACCGCTGCTCAATGACTGGTGCTGCACGGTTCAAGAAGAGCTTAAACAATTAGGCAAAAAGGGTCTACATTAGAGATTGGACTGGAAGTGTCGTACGAGAATTGAGACCCCGAAAAATTCTCGACCTCGATAACCGAGATTTTCTCTCGAAATCTCATCTCGGTTCGGTCTTTGTATTTATTTTTGAAATGAAATTTTTTTTGTAAATTTTTGAATTAATAAAGCTAGAAAATAAATAAATAATTTCAGTTTATAAAAAAACTAAAAGATACTCCATATTTACAAAAAAAAATTTAAAATTTAAAAAAAATAAAAATAAAGAAATTTTTCTCAATAAAAATAAAAATTAATGTAATATTTACTTATTTAATGCAAAAACTAATTAAATGTACAAATGTGTGGAATGCTTAAAATTATATTGAAATAAATGAAGGCAGCTGTATTTAAAAATAATAAACTTGAACTGAAAATTGAATGAGAAAAAAGAAATAAAATGTAGACAATAAAGAAATAAAAATAAACTTTAAATTAAAACTTAGAAAAAAACTTGAATAAATTTGAATAAATAAACTTAAAAAATAGGTAATAAACTTGAAATCTAACCTGAAAATAATCCTGAACAAAATAAACTTGAAGGATATAAAACTTGAAATGAATAGTGATACATAAAAAAATAAACTTAAATGGGTAAACTTAGAAAATAAACTTGAAAAAATAAACCTAGAAAAATAAAACTTGAAATAATTTCGCATAAATTAAATAAACTTGGAAAAAGAAAACTTGTTTGTTTCTTTAAACAAGTGTGCGCAATAGAATTGTTGAGTTTAGGTAAACTCTATATTTATAGAAAATTTATGAAAATAATTTTACAAAAATTAATCTTCAAAACTTTTTAGTTAATCTTAACCTAAAAAATATTTTTTTAAATATTTTTATAATAATTATGATATCTGTGGGAAATTTATGGCAAATCCTCAACATGAGTCTTTTTAATAATTTTTTTCTTTTTTAGGCCAATGGTCAGTTATTTGAATAAAATAAATTCTTTTCCTGCCTTTTTTCACTCATTTTTACTTCAATTGTCCACATTTAAAAAAGAAAAAAAATTCTTTAGAAAATAAGAGACAGCCCGGGTAATTCAAGCTTTTTTACTTTAAAAATCTTTTTAAATTGCCACACATTTTATTGGCCACAAAAATTTTTTTAAACGTTTTGATGGACAACATAAGTTATTTTTAAATATAAAAGTGACCATCAAATTTGTAAAATATAAGTAAATGATTGGCAATTGAAGATTTTTGGGTTTGACGTTTTTAGGAGTAATTTTTTGATTTATTTGTGACATGTGACAACTGTGATGGGTAAAATAAATACTTTTTAATAGTAAATAAAACAATTTGGAATTTTATAAAAATAAATAAAAATAATTAATTAATTTTGATAGTAATTATTGCTTAAATTAGTCAAATAGTCAAATTAAAATATTACAGTCGTAAAATAGCTATGTACAGGAATGGCATATGCAGATTCTTTCTGATACATACATACACGAATAGGCAGAAACGAGAGTTTGACCACTACTTACCAGAGGTAAGTCGGAATTCCGATTTCCGACTTGTGAGCCAGTTCCGATTTCCGACTCTTCCGATTTCCAACACCTCTGACTGTTCCGACCCACCTCTGCTACTTACCCATTGATCCATTTATAAACTAAATTAATTTTTTGGTACTATTGGATTATCTACTTCATCCTTATCTTCGTTTTCCTCTTCAAAAACTTCGAGATGTTTTAATATAAATTTTCAAAAATTATTTTTCGGTCTCTAAAGATTAAAATTTTCAAAAAAGAAAAATAAATAAGAAAAGTACAGCTTAAAATTGTCTAAAGCATTCGTTGAGTAAATTGGATTATATTTTAAGAAAATAGGAAAAGGAGAAAATTAGGCGATAAATAAAGGGGAGGGAAGAAGTTTAGTAGAAGAATAAAGTCACACAAATGGCCACAAATTGGCTAAAACTCTAAAAATGGAGAAAGAGAAGGAAGTCTTTTCGCGTGATGAGTAGAGCAACAAACAAACACTTTAAAGCCTTAAGGGGAAATTGAGAGAAAATAAATAAATTTTGGAGAAAATTAGAGTTGAATTTGCGGATATGTTATTTTATAAATAAAAAAATTAAATTTTTAAAAATTTCATTAAAATTATTTTTAAATTTAAATGAGTTATTTTTAGTATGTGGGAGAGGGGTTTAGAATCTACTTTAAATTGGTAAACTTAATCATATCAAAATTGAAGGTGGAATGGAATTACAATTTCTGTTGTAAAGCATATAGCTATCTATTTCCTAAGGCTATGCAGTAGGCGTCGTGGTGTAATGGCTAACACATCAGTCCGGTCTACTGAAGATGCTGGTTCGCTCCCAGCCGCCGAATAACCTTTTGCACTAGCTAAAGGAGAGAAATAGCTATAGCCCAGCTGCTTTACTCTGTCTTCTGATTTACAATTTTAGAAGGGTTTTCTTCCAAGTTCCAAAAACTTTTTTTCGAATGCCCTATTTCCGAAATGTAAACTAAAAACTGATTTCATACATAATTCTGATCGGGATTGAATTTGAATTTTGGTAGAAAGAATATTGAATTAAAAATAAAATCATGGGATTGTCTCGGGAATTTCAAAATAAAAATAAATATAAACTAGTTCCAATCTCTGTTTGCTAAAATTAAGAGTGTCAAATATAAATAAATAGTAAATTGTTGGTGCTATTTGCCAGACAGCAAATTAACGCAAATTGAATTTACTCGTTTTATTGTTTGTTTAGTTCAATAAAAAAATAACAAAAATAAAAATTTTATTTGGATAAAGCTTTTAATTATTTTTTATTATATTTTTTTAAATTATTTTTAAACAATGATTAATTCAGTTTTGTTTGAGAGCTTTTAATGTTTTTTTTTGATAATTAATTTCTGAAGTTCCCCAAACATTCTTCAAATCGTCAGACCGAGAGTTAACCTCTTGTCTCGTTTTTTATGGTGTTAGGAAAAGCACTAGGTCTGAAGAAACTGGATCATCTTAATCAGATTAGTGAATTTGAAGCGGGATGGTTCTTCTTCTTTTTGTTCTTCTTACGAGAATCTATAGTTATCCCCTACTCTACTTATATACCACTTGATCGATTTGCCTTATACTAATTAAGAGTGATATCGGTTGACGGGATATCAGGGTTATCAAGGGCTAAGTATGATATATGAGGACGGAAAGTAATTCACAATTTTGTTTTTAATTGCTCGTAGAAATGAAGAAGATTAAGAAAAATCATTTTTATTTTATAGATAATAGAGAATCGTCATTTTTAAACTCAATTCTAATTAGTGTTTTAATTAATTTCTTTTATTTTTTATTCAAAAATTTTTTTATTATTTTTTATTCTTACTAATCTCTACTATATTAAAGTATTTTCACTAAAATAATCGCAAAAAAGCAGCTTTTCCTCTCCCATCGTCTATATCTTTTTTTCTTTTATTTCTTTTTTCTCGATAATACCTCCCCTATAAAAATAAATAAATACAAGATTTTCACCTTTTTTTTCTTTTTTTTTATTTGTACAAATATTTTGTATATATTTTACCTTTTTTCTTGCCCTTTTTCAATGATTCTTCGTTTTTTTTATTTTTACAAAAACAAATAAATGAATGATGTTTTAGTGTGAGACATGAAAAGTAGTGGAGAAAAAGTGTTTCTTTCTCCGTTATTTGTTTATTTTTTTTATTTTTATTACAAAAAATTAATATTTTATTTTTAAAATCATTAGCTAGTATATGTACATACATAGATTTATTAGATTATAAGAAAAAATTACAATTTCAACAATTATTTGTATTTTTTAAGTAATTATGTAATTGAAAGGTCGTTCCATAATTCGAAACCTTGGATGGTTACGAAAACTAAAAAAACTAGCTTGTATTTAGTTGAACAGGCATATGTAGTACATATTTTAAAATTCTAACATTTTTACCTAGAAGATATTTTTTCCACTTATAAAACAAAATTTTTATTTTTTCCCTTCGTAAGATCATTGAAATATTTTTAATACAACTAGCGATCGGAATCTGCTACAAAAATTTTGGTCATCAAAAATCGAAATTGTGAAAGACTAGTCCAGTCTTTCATTAAAACTAAGTACAAATAAATTTGAAAAATTATTTTTTTTAAATTTATTTTTAAAATTGATCAGTTAAAATTTATTTAAAATTAATTTTTAATATTAGATTCTACAAATTGCAGAAATATTTCCTATTTAAATTTAAAAATGCCTGAAATTTCTGCTGATAAAGAAATTAAAGAAATTATAAAAAGCATTCAACGAGTACGCTATTTAATTCAAAAAATAATTAGAGGAACGGAAAATATAACTGTAAAAATGGAACCGGCACTTTCTGAAGCTGAAGCTGTTTTGATTGACGCTAGAGAAGCTGTGGCTAATGCAAGCAATGTTTTTGTGGAATTTTCTAATTATAATGTAAATAAATTAATTTTAAAAATTTCTTTATAATTTTTGAAAAATATTTTTTGGAGAAAATTATTGTGAATGCGCGAAAAAGCAAGCAATTTTTTTGGGTTTTTATTAAATTAAGTAAGCTAAGGGTTTTAATTTTTCGAGCTATTTTGGTTATACGAATAGTTATTGGAATTAGCTCGTACTTATTTAAATTAGGCATTGTAATAATTTCAAAAATAAAAAAAAAATTTTTAAACAAAATATTTATTTTTTTAGTAAATATACAGTAAGGAGCAAAGTTAAATTTAATTTAAAAAAATTTATTTTTCGAATACATGTATGGATTTATAAATAAACGGTTGTGCATGCGGGCGCTGTAGCTACATAAGTTCGTTGTCACTTATTTTTCAACATTACCATAAGGAACAAGGGAGGGTTCAGCCCCGCAATATTTTTTTTAATTTTTTAAATTTCATATTTTTTCAATTTTAAATTTAAAAAATTATTTTTCAGTTCCCTAAACATCAAACATACGTTGCCTTTGTATTTTTAATTGAATTAATAGCTATTGGAATTATTTCATTTCTTATCTACAAAATTACCCAAAATGTGAGGAAATTATTTAATCAAATAAATGAGGAAATTTGTGAAGAAAAAATTGAATTAAATAAATCGACAAATTTGAAAGAATCAGAAATTCCATTATTATTAAATAATGAACAGAAATAGAATTTTTAATCAGAATAAATTGTTTATATATTAATTAAAAGAGATCAGAACGAATAAAAATACATTTTTAATTAATCAGAATTAATTTTAAAAAAAGATAAAAAAATCAGAAACAGAAAAAATAATAAAAATCAGAATTTAATGATTATATCAGAATAAAATCAGAAATATGAAATTAACATAGGTAATTTAAATCAGAATTAAAATAATAAATAAAATCAGAATTCGATTCCATAATTAAAATAGAAGAAAATTAAATCAGAATAAATTATAATATAGGAATCAGAATTTAAGATTCAGAATTTAAATTAAATCAGAATTTAAAATTAAATAAGAATTAAAAAAACAGAATTTAAAATTTAAATAAAATCAGAATTTAATTTTTTCACAAATTTAAACTAGAAACAGGCGGGAATATAGCAGAACGCGACCCAAACGAATATTCCAATGCTGCTATTCTAGCCATGCAAACACATTCCCCTTGTTTTTGAAAAAGTTGTTGTTCTTCTATTAAATTATTTATTTTAAATATTTCTGAAGAAGATTCCTCGTCAGACGGTAATTTAATTGGTGTAAATTGAGGGGATGTATTTGTTATTGTTGTTGTTTCTTTTGTAGGAAAATTATTTGGAGTCGTAGTTATTGGGATTGGTGGGAGAGGATTCCAAGAATATATTCCATAGGCTAAAAAATAAAAAATTTTTATTTTGGTAATTAAAAATAAACTAAAAGGAAAATTGTAAATCAACTATCATAAATTTAATTCATAAAAAACAGAACTCTGAACGTTAAAAATCAGAATTAATTTAATTCAAAATTCTAATTTTCGAAATAAAAATAATTTAAAGTTAAAAATCAGAATCTGAATTTTTATGGTAAAATTATAAATCAGAAATATTTTATAAAACCAGAATGATTGGATTAAAAAAATCTCAGAATTATTTAAACAGAAAAGCAGAATTTTAAATAAGAACCAGAATTATATAACACAAATCAGAATTATCTGAAATCAGAATTATTTGAAGGAGTATAAAACAGAATTATTAAATCAGAAAATTAATTAATAAACAGAATATAAAGAAAACGGAATCCTTAAATAAAACCAGAATTTTTTTTTTAAATCAGAATAGGGAATTGAATTTATTATTTAAATGTTTAGCTAAGCAATAAGTAAAAAATAAAATATAATTTATATTTAAATTATTTAAATTTACCTGTACAATATTGCATACAATCCTCATTGTTAGGAAGGTTAACTTTTACGGAAGCAGTGCCTCCATGGATTTTTATATTTTTTAAAAACGCTCCAAGACCTCAAAAAATTATTTAAAATTTTCTTAATTTCCCCTTAATTACCATGGTGTGTATTGGCTTTCAATCCAGAAGTCATTCCTGTATTTTTAAAAGAATTTGAAATTGCTGATTTCATAAAACAACGATGATTTTCCTCATCAAATGTATATCTAATTTTTAAAAATTAAAAAAAAATTTTAATGAGTTACGCTATGCAGCAAGGATCTCTAGCACAAGCAATACAACACTGTTTAATTTCGGGAGCACTAAATTCGTCATAGGTACCGCCGTTTAATGCAATGCTGGGTAGATAGAAGCAATTGGATGCTGAAATTCGGAAAATTAATTAAAAATTATTTTTAAGTAACGATAAAAATAATTATCAAATAAAAACAAACATTTAGCATTAATTAAGGTCAACAATAATAAGAAAATGATTATGAAGGTTAACAGCCTTCTGAAGAAAATATTGCAGAATATCATGATTTATTTGTATTTTTGTCTGAATAAATAGAAATCAGAATTTTTGTGAAAATACAAAATAAATACCGTATTTCCTCAAATAGTACTGCCGGCAGTACTATTTTTCAACCCTCCTCTAGAGGGCAGTACTATTAGAGGGGGCAGTACTAATAGAGGGGGCAGTACTATATTTCAACCCTTTTTCGAAATTATCTGAGTCTTTTTATTGAACCTGAATCTTTTTTTTTGTGTTTAAATTTTTTTATATTATCCACAATTGTATGCTCGGAAACTATCCCAAATCAAAATCTTGTTCCAAAAATGAAATTAGCAGACACTGAAAATTTAAGACACCGTCTATAATGAAATCTGTATCAAGTATTTTGTAGAGCATTTTGTAGAGCGCCATGCGTATCTTTCTAATTCGTGTTTTGTGGAGAGGCAAGCGTGCGCTCTTTTGCGCGTGCATCAGGTCAAGCATATTTGTGAGATCAATGATTTGGAGGGATTGAGTGTAAGTCTTTTAATTTCGAGGATTAAGAGAGTAGAAAAATTATGGGGATGTTCATAATCAAGGACGATGGGGATTATGGGGGATTCAAGAATTTGGGAAGATGTCGGGAATAATCCATAATCCACCGATAGCCTCACATATCCTCATATAAAACCTCTCCATGCGTATATGTTTCATATCCTAACAACTCTAATAAATACTTAATATTCTTCAACGTAAGTAGTTACCCCCCCCCAATTTGTTGCACAGGTGTGCAACAAATTGGAGGCGGAAGTTGGCAACTTCAAAGGGAAACCCAAGGGTGTAGGGGGTTTCCCGGATCCATCATCATCAATTTGGCGGTATAATCAAAGGGTTTGGGTCATTAATTTGACAAGATGACAGGTTTTGATTGATAGGTACAGGAGTGATTGATGATGACAAATGACAGGGTTTGATTGATTGTGACAAGGTACCACCAAAACGTTGCACGTTGTGCAACATTTTGGTGGGTACCAAAATGTTGCACGTTGTGCAACATTTTGGTGGATGAAGTCGGGATCAAAGGAAACCAAAGGGTGTGGGGTACTTTCAGGTTCCCGGTGTGTCAGATTTGATTGACAGGTACAAGTACAAGGTACTTGTACCTTGTACTTGTACAAGGTACAAGTGTTTGATTGATGGGTGACAGGTGATTAATTTGATTGATTACCTGTACAAGGTTTCAGCTCCAGACTGAAAGTCTGGGACTGAAACCTGGAATTTCAGTCTGGGACTGAAATATTTTGGGGGCCGGGGTCCGGGATACGGTAAAATAAATAAAAATAAATTAAATAAAAAATAAATTAAATAAATTAAATAAAAAATAGGGAGAGATAAAATTTACAAAATTTTAAAAAAATATTAAAATGATTTGCAAAAAAGGGCGGAAGTCAGAATGTAAGGGGATTTAACCAATTATTTCGAAACATACAAGATCTTATCTAATTGACTGATGATTAATGAGTCTGGGGCTGAAATCTCGGCGCAGTCCGCGGAGGGGGTGGAGGAAGATTTCCCTCTCTCAAGGTCATTTGCGGGAACTATTTTTCTTCTCGCAGTAGAATGGAATTTCAGTCTGGGACTGAAATATTTTGGGCTGGGAATTTCAGTCTGGGACTGAAATTTTCGAGTCAGAGATTTTCAGTCTGGGATGTAAAAAAGTTGGGGGCAGGGGTCGGGGTACGGTAAAATTAAAAATAATAAAAATAAATTAATTAAAAAATAAAAAATAGGGAGGGATAAATTTTTACAAAATTTTACAAAAATATTAAAATGATTTGCAAAAAAGGGTGGAAGTCCGAATGTAAGGGGAAGTTAACCTATTATTTCGAAACATCAAATTTCGAAATGTTAAAACGACAAAATGCCACAACGACAAAATGCCAACTCCCAATTCGCCAACACTTAAAATGTCAATGTTCAAAAGATCACCTTCACATTCTCTCTTAAATTTATCTCTTCATTTAAAATAATATAAAATTTAAACACCTTCAATTAATTTATATAACTTTCACTTATCCCTAACACTATTCCACAATTATCACTTAAGATAACTACAATAGATCACTTAACTTAATTCTACATAACATTCCAAACCAACCCAAACATGGTTCATATAGCCTTTGACCCAAGGACAATCGGTTACGACGACCATCATATATCTATCAGCCAAGTAGGACAAGGCGCAGATGAAAACTATTACTATTTTCGTGGACTAAATCCTTATCAACGTGGATACGGGAGACAAGCGGGTGGTGGAGTCGGAGATGTACTCAGAAATTTTTGGCGTTTCCTCCTACCGTATGCAAAACGCGCGGGTACAGCTGTAGCAAAGGAGGCATTGGATACTGGTGGGAGAATTTTAGAAAGTGTGGGGAATCCAGAATATGGCAAAGAAGATTCTAACCCAAATTTTAAGCAGACAGTAATAAGTGAAGGAAAACGGGGGTTGGACAGATTACTCGAGAAGGGAGGATTGCCAAAACAATTTGGAACCGGATTGCGAGCCAGAGCTAGTATAAAAGGACTCAAAAGAAAACGTAAACCCCATTCATCATTTTCAAAAGAAAATAGTCATCAACTCATTATTGGAAGACCTCCATCTCTTACCCCAAAAAAGAAGCGTCAAAAAATAGACACATTCGGTCTTTATTAAATAAAAATGTCTACTCATCAGAAAATTGATCGCGATTCTGGCAACGCAATAACAACTGCTTTATCATTTTTCGAAACTCCCCACACAAATGTCAGTATTAGCAACTCCTCATTTATTGAATTACTCACACTCAACCCTGTGAATATCACCCCCTTTCATTTCAAAATTCATGCGACTACAAATTATATTGATCTGGCCAAAACTTATGTTTTTACTGAACTTAGGATTAAAAAAGAAGACAAGGATGGGAAACTTGTTGATATAGGAAAGGATGATAATGTATCGGCAGTGCAACTTATAGGTCATACAATTTGGAAAAATTGCCGTATGCATATTAATGGAACTCAGGTTTTTGAAGGGAACTCCCTCATGGCATACAAAAGTATTTTTGACTACGAACTAACCTACCCACAAAGTGTGAAGAACTCTTATCTTTCTGTGGCGGGGTATTATGATGATGGAGCCACACAAACATACCCAGGTGTTGATTCTAATGGATATGGAGTTAAATCAAGGAAAAGATTATTCTTAGACGAAGATGGAAATCCGCGTACTGCACAATTTATGGCCAAATTGGATGTTGATATTTGTAATCAACCAAGATATTTAGTAAACCAGTGTGAAGTTGATATTGAACTACTACCCAATGAATCAAGTTTCCTGCTTAGTGCTCCCTGGGACACTGCCCCAAAATATCATCTAGAAATTCTGGCTTGCAAATTATATGTAAAGAAGATTGAGTTGATGGACAGCCTAGCCTTTGATATTGCAAAAAAACTTGAAATAAAGCCCGCGAGATACCCGATAAGAAAAACATCTCTGAAATCTTTATTCATCAGTGAAAATAGAACTGAATTTAATGCTAACCTATGGATGGATCAGGTGCCTCGAAGAATCATACTGGGAATGGTTGATAATAAAGATTTTGTAGGACGACAAAAAACAACTCCATTTTATTTTCAACATTTTAATTTGAGAGATATTTCCATTACTGCTGGAGGAGTAACTTTTCCAGCAGCCCCTTATTCCCTTGATTTTCCTAAAGGAAACTATGCTAGAATTTATCATGACATGCAAGAAGCAATAGGGTACGCGGGATCACTAGAAAGTAACGGTATATCAATGTTTCGTTATGCATATGCAGGATATTGCTTCTTCGTATTTAACCTTACAAATAGCCAGGAAGATAATGGCCCAGAGATGTTTGATTTAATAAAGAATGGTACAACAAGTATACGGATGACCTTCAACGAACCGGTTCCAAGTGGTGGGATTGTACTAGTAGCTATGGGTGAAATCGATTCGTTGCTAATGTTAGATAGGAACAGAACTATTTCCACAGATATTTCAGTATAAAAACCCTCAATTTTCCTTATTTTTTCATTCTCCCATTTCATTTAAAAATGTGTCACATTACTATAAAAATTGAATTTTGCTTTGTTTGTTTCATTTTATTTTTCTTCCTGTATAAATTTACACAACAATATTCTATGTCTAATGAGGATGAACATCCAGAATATAGAGAAAAATTAAGAGAACGTATAGGCTATTACGCTAATACAATAATTCCTAAACCAGAACAAATGATTAATTCGTCTTCGACAAAATTTCCAATAATTCCACAAAAAGTACAAAATAGTATTGGACTAGCATCTAACTTTAACCCTGAGAAAAATATTACAATCTTGGATTTTTGGTCAATGGAACACGTTGAAAATGTTCAATTTCCCTCTCCTTGCAAAGAATTTCCTTCATCAGAAACATCAATTGCTCAAACTATTTACT